GACCAAGTGGCTTCACCACATCTGCTTCTGTGACCAGTCCTGCTCCACCCAGACGCTACTCTATCTCTGCTGCTGTTGCTGATTACTAATATTGTTAACTTTTTAGAAAAACTAATTTGTGTGTTTTGTTTGTGTGGATGGATGTGTTTTTGCTGCTACTGGACACCTGACTTTCTCCTACGGGGGATCAATAAACTTTCTATCTATCTATCTATCTACAAGGTTTTCTTTCTTATCTTTTTTTTAAAGAATAACACCCATACGCAACACTATTTATTCTCCTACACCAGAATTCATTACCTTCAATATCCAGCCCTATGCACTAATTATAATCTTACAATTGGGTTCAGGACAATAGGCTTCTGCGGCAAGAAATTATGGACTGTCCTCTCAACAAGATTATAAATTTCTGCTCAAAACTCAATTACCGAAGTGTGCGCAGCTCTGTAGAGTGAATTTACTGTCCAAATCATATCCACAATGTCCTAATAATTCAGTTGTGCAGGAAAGAAATACGGCTCGTGACTGAGAGAAATGTTTCAGTTGCAGTTGGATGTGTCCCTTTGTGCAAACACAGAATACATAATAGTGTGCAAACAAATATAAACCAGGGGAATATTGTGTTATGCTCTTTGTCTATTCTCCAGCAGAGAAGCATTTGAATAAGTGACCCATGTTTCACCAGGGCCAAGACGACACACTCACCTGGAAATAAAGGCTACAGAATGCCAAAGGCGGCTCGTGTCTTTTTGGTAGCTGATGTTTGTCTGGGGAACATCCTCATTCACCAGACTGTGTGAAGGACTGTAGCTTTTCTCTCCCTGGTTTCAATATGTATGTTTTGTTATATATCTGTTATGTTTGTTGGATTTATTTTCCTTTTTTTGAGCCGTTTCCATTCCCTTCCAATGCTAAATGAAACATGTTTGTAGCATAGTAAACGATCCCCTTAACAGGAAAAATATATGAAGTATGTTATCATAATACATAAAAAGAACAATGATGTATCTGTGATATTGGTTGTTGGCAACAGCAGAGGGACCGTAACATGTCGCAACAGCAGAGGGACCGTAACATGTCGCAACAGCAGAGGGACCGTAACATGTCGCAACAGTTTGTGATGGAGCGCATTTCCTTCTGGGCCCAGAATCATCAGTTTGTGATCATCAGCCATGAACGGCATTCGTAACACTTGTTGGGAATGTGTAAACACAGAATAAGGCTGACAAAGGCCGATAGGTGAAAAAATAGATCCATGGCAAGCTCACACCAAAAGTGACATTCTGTTTAGCACAATACCTGAAAAAGCATCCGAGTCATTAAGAAACATTATTGTATTATCAAACCTCGATTTGTTACAAATGCAATGAGTTTGACAACTGATTTGCCAACTTTGATGTATGAACATTAAAACATGTATGGAGTTCTACATGTGACGTGGAAATTGCCTTTTCTGTGTTAGAATGGTTCGATCGGTGGCAAATCAACAACTTTGTAAAGTCCTCCAAGATGTCTGCTGTTTTGATTTAGGGCTATACAAAAATGTATTTAATTGAATTAAATGAAACAAAACAAAAAACGGTTTGAAGCATTTGATCAATGACTTTTGATTTCGTTTGATTTTCTACAATGAGCAATTTCACCTTACAGGAATACACAAAAAAAGATATTCCAAGTGATATCATGCACTCATACGTCGGAGGCAGCCTTCTTTTCATTTTGGCATGTAAAGCAAGAGTGTTACATCGCTGCAGCACACACACACACACACACACACGCACAGACACAAACACACACACACACACTCACACACACACACACACATGTACCCGCACACACACACTCACACGCACAGACATAAACATAGTCACACACACTCACACTCACAGACACAAACACAGACACACACACTCACACTCACACTCACAGACACAAACACAGACACACAGACACACAGACTCACACTCACACGCACAGACACACACACACACACACACACACACACTCACACTCACAGACACAAACACAGACACTCACAAACATAGACACACACACTCACACTCACACTCACAGACACAAACACAGACACACACACTCACACTCACAGACACAAACACAGACACACACACTCACACTCACACTCACAGACACAAACACAGACACTCACACTCACAGACACAAACACAGACACACACACTCACACTCACAGACACAAACACAGACACACACACTCACACGCACAGACACACACACACACACACACTCACACACATACTCACACTCACAGACACAAACACAGACACACACACACACACTCACACTCACAGACACAAACACAGACACTCACACTCACAGACACAAACACAGACACACACACTCACACTCACAGACACAAACACACACACATGTACCCGCACACATTGGGAACAGTCTATTGATTACAAGATGAAAAGTCCTGCTAGGATCACAGGTCCGTTCCATCTCCAGCATGTGGACATTAAATATGGACTTTGGTCTGGCAGTTCAGTGATGCTGCACACATCTATGGGCCCCTGCAGATTTCAAAGCAGAATGAAGTCTTCCTTACCTCGTTCTGAAGTTGGCCGGGTGTGGATGCCCGTCATACAAAGATAAAAAGTCATATTCCTCCTCCACGGCAAAAGATTGAAAAACTATATGTATTCTGTTCCCTTCTTCGGCCAAAATGACCCAGGTACAGTTCGCCCCATTTGGATATCCATAGGGAAAACCTGGGCTCTCAATAGTTCCATTCCGTCCTTTTAAGGTGCCTCCACATGTATGGATAAATCCTGCAGACAGAAAGAGACAAAATAGCCTTAGAACACAGACAGCTTTCAAAATTCCAATTACATTGTATAGATATCCTTCAAAATGTATTCAGTAAGAATATACACACAGGAATGCAGATAACACTGAAAGCAATTTTATTAACCTTTGTAATGCAATTTTATAAAAAAACAAAACAAAACAACAACTTTAAACCACTTTACAGGCTAATTATGTATAAAATATGTTAAAATATTAGTATGAAAACATGTATTTGATAGTAAAGAAACGTATTTATAAAATACTTTCAACACATTGCAGTTTAAATTGTATCCTTAGAATAATCATCTACTACTTCAACTCTTCTACTCAACACCGATATTTTTTATCTGAATTGCAGATGTACTTATACTGGTGTATTTTCCGATGTTTTTGAAAATACGTTATTATAAGAACAGTCTTCTTGAAAATGTAAAACTTATATTCTGACAATCCACATTAGTAAAACACTGCTGCAAAATATTTTGTATCTACACTTTGTTACACTTTGTTTGAGTTGGCTTTTGTATGAACTATGCTACACAATTAAACGTGCCTTGCTTTGCATAAAGATTTCATGATTTAAGTAAAATATATATAAATATTCTCCAAAAAAATGTCGCTGGTTTTCTCATCACAATAGAGTGAATCAGTCGGGCATAGGGCCGTCTCATGCATTATTGAGGTATGCTTTCTGTAAATAAGCCGATTGCATCCGTGTTGCTTATTTTTCCAGAGGGCTTCTAAACCCCAGAGATAAAACCTAAGCAGGGAGCAAATGCGCAAACATCACCTGCATTATATCAGGCTCACAAGCCCTTAAGACCTGCCTCGAATACACATCTTTGCACCTTGTTATAGGACTTTAAAAAGGCACAATCCTTACTGTGCCATTAATTCAGTTTACAAGGTTGTGCATGGCTTTAATACATCGCCTAATAGTGTGGACCCAGTTCAAAAAATGTCTGCTTTATTTAAGCGCTTTCTTGCATACCGTCTAATGGAATGCAACCTTAATTAAGATGCATAGTTTATCACTCACAAATTACTCTAGAGTAATTAGCTTTCTCCACTCTTTAGGTAAAAATGTTTAGTATAGAGGGCTCACACATGCTGCAGTATGAGAGAAAGAGAGAGGACATGGATCACTTGGCATCTCTGCATCACAAATGGTCCTTAACAAGAGACACAACGTACACACTACTGCCATTTCTCTTTATAGGATGCACGCCCCACTTATAAGTTGTCAGGAAGCAAGCATTCCGAATGTTAAACCATGAGACAAACTGGCAATTAATTTTCAACTCACGTCAAGCTGCTCTAATTTCATTATTTTTCGGACACAGTCTGACAGCTGTTTATGGTTCAGACAGAGCTGTTTTGGCAGACGTAAGTTACAACTGGAAATTAAAATTCCGATTAAGTTCAAGAGATCCTTTATTCTTCCCACAGTGAGGAAATTCCAGTGTTGCATCACAAGCTGGTTGCACAAGATAAGTGTACAATAGCTACACTAGTCAAAATAAAATCTCCTACTCTAGCATCCAAGAAACAAGTATAAAATATCTATCTTGAACATAATAAAGAAGTATAAAACATTTTAATTTGGCAATAAAGAGGCAAGTATAATGTACTGTGTATTCTAGTGCAAAATGTAGTTATATGTCAGCATCTGTACATGTTAGCAGCAATAATGTATGTTAGCATCTATACATTAGCAGCAGTATGTTTACATCTGTACATGTTAGCAGCAGTAAATTGTATAGTAATCCAAATTTGTACAACGATATATTACTTAAATATACTATATCACAGGACTAAACAAACAAAAATATTGTAGAGCATTCACCCAATGCTCGCTTGAAGTTTAATGTGCCTCTGTAGCCACCGTACTTGTGATTGTTTTACCGCACATGCGCAAGTGGCAGGGTATTCATTCTATGCTATGAAGCCGGATACTTAGAGCTGTACGAGTGAAGCTAATAAACAGAACTCGGTTTATAAAGTATTCCCTCCGTGTGGTCTTTCAACATGGTGTCAGAAGTAAACACAGACACTTTTGATCGTGCAACTCGTTCCTTACGGTGCGCACGACTACTTGCCGGTCGATAAAGACAATAACCAGTTTCTAACGTTGCTACCCAGCTATTCCCGCCAACGGACATACGTGCATCATGTCGGATGGATTTCGCAGACCAGACCCCCTCGTCTTTGATGAGAACATCGCGGAGAATTGGCGAGTGTTCGAACAGGAATATGACATTTTTATCGCGGCGGCACACTCTGACAAGTCGGCCCGCACACAAGCCTACATTCTCCTCAATCTAGCAGGATCGGAGGCCATTGAAAGGGAGAGGTCGTTCGTCTACACGCCCGCGGTGAGAGGACCCGACGTCGACGACGCACCGGGACACATCATCACTCCTGCAGAGTCAAAAGAGGACCCTGAATGCTTGAAGAGGAAATTCCGGGCAATCTGCAGTCCCCGAATAAACATTATAGTGGAGAGACACAAGTTCAATGCACGGTTCCAAAACCAAGGTGAGACATTCGAATCATATGTCACAGATCTAAAGATAAAAGCAAAGAGCTGTAACTTTGGACCACTGCAAGACGAGCTCATCCGTGACAGATTGGTTTGTGGCATAAATGATGACAATCTGAGAAAAATAATGCTGCGTGACAGTGAGCTGACTCTGGCTAAAGCAATCTCCGTGTGTCAAATTTATGAGCAAACAGAACAACACACCAGGGTATTGTCGTCACCGCATACTCCCACTAGTGTTGACAGTCTGCAGTACAAATGTGGCAGGAAGCAGAGATTTGAGCCACGACAGAGGGCGCAGACAGGGAGAAACGGTCAGCCCATTGTCAACTGTAACAATTGTGGTGGCAGCCATGATGCCAAGAGGGAAAGTTGTCCAGCTTTTGGTCAACAATGCCACGCATGCAAAAAATGGAACCACTACAAGAAATGCTGCAGGTCAGTGCAGAGATACCCTAGGATGCAGGGCTCCAGGGAGTCCGTCCACCACCTCGAACTGAACCAAGCCACGGGCAGCACTGCTGAAGATGACTCATTCTGTATTGATGGGATAGCACCAGTTGTCGTACACACAATATGCTCAAATGTGCAAGAAAAGAATGTAGCGTTCGCCACCGTGCACATCAACGGCAAAGCTGTCGAGATGAAAGTCGACACGGGTGGACAGTGCAACGTTCTATCCTATGATGCTTTCAAACATGTGGAGAGCGGAGAACAGATTGACCGCTCGATAATCACCAACCTTGTCGCATATGGGGGAAACATGATCAGCACCTTGGGCTCAGTCGTCTTACAATGTCAGCTTGCAGGTCAGCAGTATACACTACAGTTCCACATTGTGGAGAGGAATGTCCAGCCACTACTAGGCCTACCAGCAAGCCTGCGCATGAAGCTAGTGAAACTGAGCAAGGATGTTCACCAACTCAGTGTGAACACAGAGGCCAACCTGCCGCACAAGATCTTCACAGAGTATGCAGATCTATTTAAGGATGAACTTGGCAAGCTACCAGTGACATATTCTATGAAAATAGACCCTGACGTGCAGCCCGTTGTCCGCCCAGCACGCCGCATCCCTGTAGCCATGCAGGACAGAGTGAAAGCGGAGCTAGAGAGAATGGCAGACCTGGGTGTCATCGTTCCCGTGTCAGAGCCAACTGAATGGGTGTCATCCATGGTAGCAACAAACAAGAAGCAAGCAAAGGATATAAGGATCTGCATTGACCCCAGAGATCTAAACACAGCCTTAAAGCGCCCCCACCATCCGATGCGCACGGTCGAAGAGGTTGCTTCACAGATGGCCAACGCGACGCTATTCTCAGTATTGGATGCCAAAAGCTCGTTTTGGCAGATCTCCCTGGACAGTAAGTCTTCACTGTTGACCACATTTAGCACACCCTTTGGACGCTACAGGTTCCTCAGAATGCCGTTCGGAATAAACTCAGCCAGTGAAGTATTCCAGCGCACAATGGAACAGATATTCGCAGGGTACCCCTGTGCTATCATTGTCGACGACATAATTGTCGGAGGCCGCACGGAAGCGGAGCACGACGCTAACTTAAAGAGAGTGCTTGACCGTGCGCGCAAAGTCAATCTGAGACTCAACCCCCTGAAATGCAAGTTCCGGCTGACGGAGGTCACCTATGTTGGTCATGTGTTCACCAGTGAAGGCCTGAAAGCGGATCCTGATAAGACCACTGCGATTACTGAAATGCCTGTTCCCGGAGATGTGACAGCTCTACAACGATTTCTAGGCATGGTGAACTACCTGGGGAAGTTCGTACCAAACTTGAGTGAGTTAACTGCCCCTCTCAATCAGCTGACACGCAAAGACACAGCGTGGTGCTGGCTGAAGCAACACCAAGATGCATATGACACATTGAGGAGGTGCATCTCCAGTCCGCCCGTCTTGTCATACTACAATGTTGACCAACCTGTCACACTCACGTGTGACGCTTCCCAACACGGACTGGGGGCAGCGTGTCTACAAGGGGGCAGACCAATAGCCTACGCATCTAGGACAATGACCGAGACCGAGACACGCTATGCCCAAATTGAGAAAGAGCTCCTGGCGGTTGTGTTTGCGTGTTCGCGTTTCAATGACTACATCTACGGGAAGCCCGTCACCATAGAGACAGACCATCAACCGCTGGTCACCATCATCAGAAAGCCCATCTACACAGCGCCTGCACGACTGCAACGCATGATGCTGCAGCTACAGAAGTATAACATTGACCTGGTCTACAAAAAAGGTAAACATATGTACCTGGCCGATACCCTGTCACGCGCACCCAGAGCGTCCACACTACAACATGTAAACGAGCTGAACGACTTTGAGGTCATGTCAGTCAGCCGAGTCTCATCCAGCCGTTTAGACGAACTAAAGAGGCACACAGCAGAAGACGGACTACTGCAAATCCTCTCTTCTGTCATCACACATGGATGGCCCGTCAAACAGCATAATGCTCCACCATCCATCAGTTTTTTTTTTCCATTCAGAGATGAGCTCACCATCGAGGAGGGTGTCGTCATGAAAGGTCACAGACTTGTCGTTCCCCAGTCACTGCAAAAAGCGTACACTAGCATCGTGCACAGAGGACATCCAGGAGCGGAGTCCACCAAACGCAGAGCCCGGGACATAGTGTTCTGGCCCACCATGAGCAGTGACATTGACAGAGCGGTACTCTCATGCTCTGTTTGTAACAGTCAGAAGCCCCATCAGCAGAGAGAACCACTACAGTCACACCCAGTTCCGGACCTACCATGGTCTACAGTAGCAACTGACATTTTCGAATGGGATGGCAAGCATTTTCAGGTGCTGGTAGACTCGTACTCTGGCTGGTATGAGATCGACCTTCTCAAGGACATCACCTCAGCAACAGTCCTCACAAAGTTGAAAAGACACTTCTCTGTGCATGGCTGCCCACATCTCCTCATCTCGGACAATGCCAGACAATACACCAGCCAGAAGTTCAAAGATTTTGCTACACAGTGGGATTTCAAGCATATAACCAGCAGTCCTGAATTCCCACAGTGCAACGGTTTGGCTGAAAGAGCAGTGCAAAGTGCCAAGCAACTGATGGAGAAATCAAAACGGGATGGTACTGATGTGTTCCTCAACCTCTTGAACATGAGGAACATCCCTCGCGATGCACAGCTGGGCTCACCTGCACAGAGACTAATGTCAAGGCAGACCCGTACCACCCTCCCAGTCAGCAGACAGCTATTGCAACCAGCATCCCTCAACACCAAACAGGTCACAGCCCAGCTCCAGAAGAAGAGGCTCTCCCAGAAGCTGAGCTATGACAAGTCCAGCCGTCCTCTTCGTCCACTGCTGGAAGGCGAAGCGGTCCGGATGCAGACCCCCCGGGGTTATGATCGCATGGGCACAGTAGGAAAGATCTGTGAAGAGCCGCGGTCTTACATCATCCAGTCTGGAGGCAGAGACTACAGGAGAAACCGCAGACACCTCCTGCCCGTCGCCGAGCGATCTCCACATCAACCTGACACTGTCGACCTGCAGCCCTTCAACCCAGCTGCCGGTGAAACACCTCCCATCTACAGGGAGGAACAACGGGATCCCATGGACACTGTACCACCGCTGGTCCAGGTACCCGTAGCTAACTCTCCCGTCCACGCTGGCAAGAGCCCATACACAACACGTTTTGGTCGTACAGTCAGAGCAAACCCCAAATACAAAGACTGATTATTGGGTTGTGAACGGACTTGATGGACCATGTATATTTAGTACTACACATTGCAGTTAAAGAAAAAAAAAAAAAAAAAGATGTCAAGCCTTTCTTTGATACATTCGTTATTATGTCCACGTTTCAGTCAGCCTAAACATTGAAGTTTTGATGTTCAAATCGAGTATGGTTATTTGTTGTTGATGGTACTGGAAGCTAAAGAAAGGGGATGTAGAGCATTCACCCAATGCTCGCTTGAAGTTTAATGTGCCTCTGTAGCCACCGTACTTGTGATTGTTTTACCGCACATGCGCAAGTGGCAGGGTATTCATTCTATGCTATGAAGCCGGATACTTAGAGCTGTACGAGTGAAGCTAATAAACAGAACTCGGTTTATAAAGTATTCCCTCCGTGTGGTCTTTCAACAAATATAGTCTATATATTTGTTTTTTTAGTCCTGTGGGTTTGGTCTGTCTTCTCTCAAATAAAAAATCACCCATATCCAGGTGACATGTGAGAATATAACAGGTTTGCATGAGCCACTATTACACATGGTTCCTTTATACCAAGTTTTATCAGCAATGCAGCATGATACAGCAGTTCTTACAGAGTGCATAAAGAGACCGACATCTCAACCCAAATGTACAAAGACAACTCTGAAGTCATCCTGCACCCGAACTGAAGAGAGGCAGTAACCTTTAACAAACAACGGTTCTTGTAAATGTGGGAAAGTGAACTTTTAATAAGGACTTTTAACTGCTTTTATTTGTGTGATGTGTTTTGTGTTTTTATATTTTTAATGCATGGATTTTAATCACAGTTCCTTGGACACTTCCCCTAATCACCCGCACCTGTTTTAATCAAGACCTTTTAATTGGGGGCGGGCACTGCAGGACAGGGGAGAAGAACGGGAAGAGAGCAGAGGAGAGCGAGACGAGGGCCAGGGGAGAGGATGAGGACACAGGACCGGGCCAAGGACGAGCACCGCCAGCCAGAGACCACGGGGCACTGAGGCCAGCGGGCAGAGCGGCACCGGTGAGGGGGCGCGCATTGATAGCGCACTGGCGCGTGCGCGCCCGGGCTATGCCCACCGAAGACCGGGATGTGCCGGCTCTTCCCCGCGGGTGCCCGGTGGCGACCCGTGGTCTGCAAGGGGCTGGCGGGACTGCAGCCCGGTCCCGGGACGGAGAAGGGCCTGGAGGGAACCGAGGCCAGGGAGGACACCGGTGCCCAGCGGACTACGGGTTTTATCATGATTTTAATGGACCTTTTGTAAATATTTTATTAAATTTTATCCTCTTCCTGTTTTATGATCACACCCCCTCAACAGACACTTTTAAACCTGTGACATAAACACAAAGTCGAGATTCAGAATAACTAACATCTATTTAGCAATTTTCAAGCTCTGTTCTTTCAAATACAACAAAACAGTTCATAAAATGAGTCTTGAAAATATGTGTTGATTACTTCCAAATGTCTTCTATTGGATATAAAGGTTCTGACCCAAAGCCACTATATTTGTGCGTCCACCTAAGCGTCCAATATTCCAGGACTAAATCACCTTGATGCAGTGGACAGGCTGTCTGACCTTCACTCTGTTCTTCACACACATACATCACCTCTCACTGGGTTAGGCTGATGCTTTAACCTGACTGTGTGTGTGCGGGGCCTACACTATTGTCCTGTGTCAAACTAACTAGTATTTCTGTAACCATTAAGCAAAGGGGGTAATGATGGTGAATGTGGAGAACAGATGTAGTGCCTGGAGTGAGCAAAGCCAACCTGTGACACTGCCTTACCTCCCCTCCAAAGAACAATTACAACAGCAGCTCCAGCCATTTGGTATCATTATGGTGTGAGAAAGATTAATTATAATTAACCCTAACCAAAATGCGCATCAATGTGCATAACAAAAAGTGTGTGTTTCATGTATTTTGGCTCACTATGATGCTACTGTCTGAGATTGTGTGTTTTTGTTTAGTTTTTTACATGTAGGGAAACACTAAACACACACAAAATATTGTAGCCCTGTCATCGGAAAAAAAATCTGATAATTAGAAAAAAAAATTGGGCCGTGAATATGAAAATGTTTTGATGTTTTTTTGTCAGTGTATTTGTTCAGTCTAATGTCTCAGTCTCACAAGAGCTTGAAGTAATATAAAACCTCTCAATAATATCTTATTGTCTAGAAATGCCAGATAAAAGGCAATGCACCCTCTTAGTGCCAATAGACTAGTGTTATATTCATATGTGCGTAGCTATGGATTATTTTATTAATTGAGTAATCTATTGAAACACATGTTACATTGATAGAATGCATTGATCATTGTCCATGCAGGCGCACCATACAAAAGGTTGTATAAGCATTAATGAGTTCATGCCAGCTCCGGTATTCACAGTCAAAGAGTTTCTAATTAAAGAAGATAATTCACTCACTTGTGCACATCATTAGAGTATCTCGTCATAAAGGACCACCTCAAATTCCATGTAAGATTCCATTTTTGTGATTCTATAAAGTCTACAAGAGGGGATACAGTACAAGGCAGCCTAGCTTTTTGTACCAAGGGCAGTGTTCAGATGTAGTATATTGCTTCATAATGGAGAGAAAAGAGCTATTTACAAAGAATGGAGCCAGACTGCACAACACTTAAATGTATGCCTGGCCTTTCTAGAAATTGCAAGAAAGGTGAGTGTTAGCACTATTTCTCCATCGCAAAAAAACAAGTCAATAGTGCGCGTGACAGGCGGCTCACGGGACCCCAGCATGAAGGAGGTTTACTTTCTACTCAGAAGGATGAAGGGCTCGGAGAAGCCTTCAATGACAACGACAGTCACAAAGCCGCGTAAAAAGGGTGAAATGTAGGTTGATAGCACATGAAGGAACAAGTGTGCCAAATAAGAAAAACTACCTGTTTGTCCTCGAATGTTATGTCCATGTGAGTGGTGAAACAAATGTATGTCACGAAGGGTCACAGGTGAGGACATTTCAGTCATTTGTTTCAACAAACTGTTTTATTGATTCAGTGCCTTCATGTGTCTCTGAGAAAGGTACAGCCTGACAGAAATCTTTTGTATCTACAGATACTGAGCTGCCAATGATGTTACTGCACAAAACGCTGTGGTGTGTACTTGGGAACAGAGATGAGAAGAGATGCTCTGAAATGGGACATTACATTGCATCGTAAAAAGACCCGACTTCTGTCAAGTCAAATTACTCGGAGTTTGGTCGCTCTAATGAATACAACTGAATGTGTGCAATAAACCAGTGATTTTAAACTTTTCTGAGATAGTATAGGAGGTTTGTGGCACAAGCTCGAGATTGGATTTTACTTTTTGTTATTGCCATAAGTATTTGCAACATTATAAGGCAACATGATGTTAATGTTGCACTGCTCAGTACATATACAATGTAAAATAGAAATGTACTAAGTTAAGATAAATGTTTAACAAGTGATTGATTGAGACAATAACAACCGCATTACATGTCCGTGTTGGTGCGTTGACATTAGTGCTTCAAGTGGAGCCTCCTCTGATAACAAGAACACAGCTTGTTTTAATGAGAAGTGGACTACAGCGAGCTGCATCACGCATACACACTTCCACATAAGTACACACTTACACATAAGTACACACTTCCACATAATGCGCATGATGCGGCCGACATGAGTCATTCTTCATGTCACTTAACACTTAACGATAACTTATGTTCCCTATGTTTTATGCTTGATTTTTTAACTATTTCATTGAATTTGTGTCAATTTGACTTGTGGTGTTTTTTCACCAAAAGTCCACAAAGACACTGCCAGCCCTGTATGCACATCACAGAATACATAATTACTGGTGTTAAAGCCTTTCTCATCTGCTCATCATCTGCACCATTCAAGGTGAGACTCTCACCCAGTTGTTGTTATGACGTTTCTGCAATGTTAAATTTAGATATTGCACTAAAACAGTAGCTTGTTGCTAGGCAACTCTAAATAAGGTCAGTGTGTATTGATATAATGTGAAAAGATCTGGTTGGAGTTGGATAGTGAGTTATAGTGATGTTCCCCGAGTAGGAAAGAGTGTCTGTGATAGTCTCACATTGTACAAAGAGTTCCTCTGTGATGTGATGTCTCTGTGCTTCAGGAAAGAAGGCGAGTGTGAACGCTTGTCAGCCCTGCATTTGTCCAGGTTTCATCGTGTTACGCCCTCAGCACCTACTGATACACCGCTACACTTCCCTTTTTATTCCCTGAGGGACACAAAGTGCTAGCAGCCTGACACATCTAGACAAATAAGATGAAAATCTATAAAGGATTTTAAGAAAGTAAATCATATGAGAATGGTCTGGTTTATGGTCATTCTATGTTAAGTAGATCCAATGTGTATAAATGTACCACAGATCTGCACACATTTATTAGTGAAAAGGGTAATTTTATTCAGCAGTAATCGCATACATCTTAGTTGATATTCCTCAGTAGACCTGTTAAAATAATCGAGGAGCAGGTCCACCAGAGAAGGTCAGCTGACCTGCTAATGTGCACTTATTATCCTTTTATAGGTTACATTTAATTCCCTTTAGTGGAAAAAGCTGAATCAGACTTGTACAGAGGAGGAATGCATGACACTCCTCCAGAGGAATGCTAATGCCCTCCTCAGTTTGTTGCTGGCGTCATGGGATTAAGAATGCACAGTAGAGGATGGTCCCACGGTGCAACCATGGTTATGAATTGGTTTTTAAATTACACTTAATCATTACTTCACTGTGGAGGCTTGATAGACTTCCTAACCATAGCTTTACATGACTTTGTCACTAGAAGTAGCCTCTAAACTCTGTCATTTTAATTGCCAATGATTCAGGGTGCACACATTTTATGAAGATAAAATTGGGACTCATCGTGTTTATGAGTGCCCCTTGCAATCAGCCAGAGTTTATACCTACTCCATGTGGCTCGATAGTCACTGCAATTTTCTGTGTTGTAAGGCACTGAATAACGAATAACTAGAAATATCATTATTCTGGACTTCAGACTGCTTT